TTTTGAATAAAGATTGAAATTCGTCGTTTTTTCAAAAAAAGCTTAAATTGCAGAATTTCTTACATATTAATTGTTTACTTGTTTTGTTTTTTCTTTATTTTTATAAATTAATAATATTGAATAAAGTTCTAAAATGAAATTCGAACGATGGTTTCTTTTTTCAATTGCCACTTAAAAGGCATTCAATATTCAAAAAAAAAAAAAAACAAAAGCATTCCTTTTTTTTTGAGTAGCTTCGCTTCGGTTTCTACTACATTGCTGTCACATCAGGGCACGTTGAGATGGTGTAATGGTTAGCAAGCTTGAGTCCGATCCTCACTGGGTTCCCCATACTTTCGGCCTTGTGGTACCTCTAAGTTACGCTTGGAAAATAACTATATTGCCATCACATTTTTAATCGAACAAGCCTCCTATCTCGGTGGTGTTGGTTATTATTACATTGTAAAAAGTTCGTTTTATACGCAGAGTTGTTTCCCTTGAACATTGCATTATTTTCATGAATACTAAATTGTAACGTTTGTTCTTACAATAATGTTTATCCTGTACAAGGCCCAAGAGTCACTCGAAGTAGAAGGTTACCGAGTTGAGGCGAAAGAGAAAGTCACTGAACGAGAAAAAGGGTATGTGTGTTCTTTACGATATACTGAAGACAAAATAACCAAAATAGTTTATTCATTATTAAAAATACAATCATTAACTATCTTAGGCCTAGCTAATCAGACCCATTCCTTCATTACAATTACCTCATTCACCACAAGATATCATCCTTCACCATTCTCTGCTACATATACCACAATACCTCATATTCACAGGGAACCTCTAAAAACACCCCATGACATAAAAATTTCTTTATGTACAAATGTTTGTTAAACAAATATATAAGAAAATATAATGATGGTATGAAATGAGTAGGAGGGGATGAACTCCAGAAATAAACCAAAATATAACAAAGTATTCAAACTAAAAATAACAGATGTGTGGAGGACCTGTCCACCCACCAAAAATAACAGTGGCTGTTGTATTTTGTCTTTAGACAGAATCAAGAATCTCTTTCACTAACAGAGCGGGAAGAGTAAAATAAATATTGGAGTAGGAAAATCAAAGTTTGACAAAGTCAAGATGAAAAAGGAGGTAAAGAAAACACTAGGGGGTTGAGAATCTCAACTTGGATCATAACAAAAAAAGGAAAAGTTAATCTTTGGTTAATCTTGGCCCTTGAGCCCTTTTTATACCATTCAAGGGCCTTCTGCACCACCTCAATGTTGCTGCAACACAACACGAAAATGGATATATCATTGGTGTATGTTGAAACTCTGGCTTGAGCCCCATCAGTGTCAGCGATTCCACATAAGTCTAGACTGCTGACCCCATCCCTCAGTCAGCGAAGGAGAGGCACCAATGCCAAAATGTTAGGTAGGGTGACAATGAGCAACCCTGAACAACCAACAGCACAAAAATATGGAACATCTTTCTGTTCACCTGTACCACAGCACTGGGGGAGTGATACTAAGGAGTGAGGCTAATCCAACTGCAGAAGTTGGGTTTGAATCCAGCAGTCTGAAGGACAACAGTCAGGTATTGATGTTCAATCCTGGTTTTGAATCAAATTCCCTTGTAGTTGATCCAGGTTTAATCAGTCTATCTTGCTATTTACCCATTGCTTATCATCTTTTACACCTTTCTAAGGATCATGCAGGTCAGATTCGAATTTTTTGAATAGTTTGGACAATCACCTTGGGTCCCAACAAAATCTTGATCAACTGACTGCAGACATGATTCCATCAGGTTTCTTTGAATTAGACAAAATTTTGGGTTTAACTTTGACACTCCATTTAGCAGAGTATGGACCTGTAATCATCTAAATCCCTCCCAATATCCTTGCCCTTTTTCAACAGCATGATCACACTCAAGGAGATCCATTTGAGGATGGACCCCTGATAGAACCATTTGTTCAACATGACAGTCAAAATCGGCAAAAATATGTGCAACAGCTTCAAGTACAATTCATAGAGTAGACCATCCATTCCTGGAGACTTGCCACTGCTGAATCACTTTAATACCAAGTAGACTTCGCCCTCTGTGATCTCACATTCACAGTTAACTGATCAAGCTGAGGAAAGTCAGTCAAATAGCTGCAAAACTCATCATCACAAAGACAAGTCTTCTTAGTAAACCAGCTTTTGAAATGCTGCCAAAACGCCTTGCACATGTCATTGCTCAACCTCAGAGTAGGCCCCTCTGGTGTATCGACTGCCTAAATGTATTGATCAAAACTCAAAGGAACCTCTTCCTTGTGCAATTCTACACCCATGTTCATAGCTTTATTAGACGTCTTGTTTAACCTATGCCTAACTACCTGACCCTGGTAGCACTCACAAGCCACATGCTGCAGAGCCTGCCTAGTTAAACCTATCTCTAGGAAATCTCTCCAGCCTCTGCCTGAGACAAGCTATCCTTCAGAGCCCTCACCTTATTAGCCTTATCTAATGTGCCTTTAGCTATATTTGGTGGTGAAGGACCTAATATTATTTTTTCCCAATAATGATCCCCACTATTTCCCACTGCACTAATCTCATTAGCTGTTGCAGGAGGTCCAGTATTCAATACAGATTGAACTTCCAGTGTCCAGTCATTCTAGGCCTTAATGCTATCTGAACACAGACAAGTTTATGGTCCAAATAGCCTAAACAGTAAAACATGCGAAATCTAGGAATTCTGTATTGGAACTTCTTACTAACATTCTATCCAAGTAGCTGGCTACCTAGGAAGACAGTCACAAATGACCATGTCCACATTTTCTGCCCATGGTGATTGACCCAGCATCTATCAATGAGACCAAATTTGCCAATCAGATCAACCAGGCTACAATTGCCCAACCTCTTGCAGGCTCCCTGCCCACTTTCTATGTTGGAGTCCAGGATGGCATACCAATCCCCCACTAAAACTAAGCATGATGAATCCACCATGAATGTCACTAACTGATGGAAAAAAAACATGCACAGTCTGGTTGTTGGGCACATAAACTGCAACGATCTGAAACAAACTATTTTTCATGGCAGTATTGGCCACAATCAGCCAGTTCCTTACATCAACATGGACAAGATCCACTCTTGAACCTAGGATATGTTTAACCAGCAAGAAAAACCTCTGGCCTGCTGGTCTTCATATGCTGAATAGACAACAAAGTTGCTTGACAGCACATGAGCATCAACCTCACAAAGTCTGTTTCCTGAATGACAGGAGATCATGTGGCAGGTGGGAAACCTTTCTCCAATCGTGGGATAACATTAGCTAGTTATCTTGAAATTTTTTTTTTTTTCAAGTGTGTTCTATCAAAACTGGGTGGAAATCTGCAGGAAAAAGGACCCTGACAGATTTCCCATTTCTGACATCATACATCTATCTAGAACACAGATGTTGGGATAAGTTAAAAATCTGTAACAGTGCAATGTTTTCTCCCAAGGAAACACAGCAAAAGAAAATAATGCCACATTGTGAAATAAGAATGCAAACCCTGTTTCCCATATTATACGTAGATGTTTTATTCACAGCTTTGCCTGATCATCTGGGTGGGTAAGCAGGTGATACTTGGAACAATTTCTGTCAGTTTTTCTCCATAACAATTCCTCAGCCATCCATTCATCCTGACATAATAGCTGGCAATACAAAATGGAGGCTTTGGAACCACTCAATGGACATGTTTCTACCACAAAGGATAGGTCAGAATTATCCCCGATCCTAAGCATGACCGTTAATATAGACCAGCACACTATTTCAGAGTTTTGTTTTCATTTGCTTTTTATTTCCCATTCCTCTCAGTTAAAGAAGATACCACTTAGAAATTCAAACTTGAAAAGGAACGATTTGCTGTTCTATCAAACAGAAATACTTGAGATCAAGATAAAACTCACCTCTTGCCTTTCTATATGGGTGTCCATAGTATCACAGGTACATGTGAATTTGATCATCTTCTCATGCAATATGTCTGGATTGTCACTTAATATTTTTGTAGACATTGGACAATCCCTCCATTTTACATTCTATATTGTTCTCTCATGGATGAATTGTTTTTACAATTTTAATAAAATAAGAAAAATAAAGTAAATTTTTTTTCATTGTGTAAAATGTGAAATCAAGTGACTAAAAATTATTATCCTTCTAAAATACAATCATACTGTCGAATATGTTAAAAAACATTCAAAGGTCAGTTTAGAAACAATAATTTTATTGTACACATAAGGATATCAGATACAGAATGATGAATAATATTTAATCTTTCTACACAAAATATTTTTTTCTTTTTAATTATTAGTTTAAAGCAGAAAGCATATTTAGCAGATATGTGAATACAAAAATAATAAAATAAATATTCCATGATTTGGGAAGCATTAGGGATAATTATTTTATTTTCAAGTTTAGTAGGAGTATTAGAGGGTAGGATTATGAATATTGGGTTGTTTTTGTTTGAAGTGCTATTGTACTTCAAGAGACTAATAATAACAATATTACCTACTAATGTTACATTACATATGTGCACATATATACACATATAAATGTGCATACACAGGCACATGTACACTTGTGACTGTAGTTTGTTATTAATAAACTAGTACCTAAATGGTAAAGTTATATAGACAGATATAGACATACAAGCACACTAGGAGTTGATGAAAATAGGTTGGATTAAACCAAAATCAGTTTTCTGATAATTAGTCATTAAAATATTAAAATATTGTTTTTAAGAGGAGGACAAGGCCTGGAAATTTTCAGAAACATTTTGTATATTTAGTTGTTATATGAATATTTTTATTAAAATGAAAATAAAGTAGACAAAAGATTAAAAGCTTTTAGCCTCATCCACTTTTGGTTATTAGCTATTAAAATATTAAAATATGGCTTTTAAAGAGAGAACTTGGTATGGAAAATATTTGTATATGTAGTTATATAGATCCATAGCTGGATGCATTGAAAGGAAAATAAATTCCTTGAAAGATGTGCATTTAATTCCCCAAATCTTCATAATCCAGATGACCTAAATAAAAAAAAGAAACAAAAATATGTCTTTACTAAAATGGAACTTCAGATAATCAAAACTCATTTTAAAATCATTTTCTACTCAGAAAGATATTCTTTAATAAAAAAAATTCTTGACATTACATCTCCTTCTGTTCATTTTATCAATCAATCAAAATCTAAGGATGAAATATTCACTATCAATATTAATTTATTATTTTACATAATAAATCCAGTCAAAAAGATTAAATTTCATATAAAATCTAAATAAGAAGCAATGTCAGAATCACACAAGCAAATTATTCTATGTCAATCAAGAGACATTAACTGCAAAACATGTTTACATGAATAAATATGAAGAGAAAAGAAAATGTCAATGGATATTAAATTCCTCTATTCAATTAATATTCTTCATAATCTAAACTTTACTCATCATTCATTTCTTAAATGACAAAATATTTCTTTTAAAATTTTTAACTTATAAAATGGTTCAGATTTTGGGGTTTTATGAGACAAAGCATTTTACTGTTTCTTAACTAACAGAATTTATTAAAACCAATTCTTGCTGAGATGTTTATAGTTAGGTTTTGTAGTCCAGAATGAAACATGTAGCATGACTTGCCAACCATCATACCATTTACCCTACATGTTACATGTTACAGTGACATAGTATAGATAATAGGGAAAGAGATTGATACTGGTTCTTACTGCTCTATGGCATGAGTGAGAAAAACATTGACATTTTGATTTTGCAAACTTCCTAAAGTTTTATTTAATTCTTCTGAGAACTTCAGATTCATTTCTCAATCATCTTGGTTTTCTTTTTGATAAAGTGGACAATCTTACAACTTCTAATTATTACTATAAGTGACTGTAGAATAGTTATGCATACATTTTACTTATCTTAGGGCACATTTACACTTATTAACCCATTAAGAAAAATATGTGTCTTATGAGAATCTTGAAAACATATATTACTTAGTAATGATTGATAAAATAGGGATTACCTTTGACAGGTGATATGTTTGCTGCATTCATGTAAACAGGTTCATTTCCATTAACTTTCCCTGAAGATGCAGTAAAACAGAAAAAATTTATTCATATTTTTGTAAATTGTTTTACCAAATTTCTGGTAAAATCTGTTTATAGACAATTATTTCAAATTTGGAGGTGGTGATTAATGAAATATTTAAGCATTTTGAAAATAAATTAAAAGAAAATGGTTGTACAACATTCAATATTATCAGAGGGTCCTGGCTACCAGTTGCCATAGTACAATTCACTGGGTTAGTATCCAACATCAGTGGATGATGGTCAGATGGTGAGATGTCACCAAAACCATTTAAAAACTGGGTATTACCTTTGACTGGTTGTATGTTTGTTACATTAATGTACTGTGGTTCATTTCCATTTTCTTTCTCTGTAATTGAAGTAAAAAGAAAAATGTCATTGTAAAACTTTATGCAGATTAAAGTGGATACTTATACTTTCTAAAAATCAGGATAAGTAAATGTAGAATGGTTAGACATGAATTTTACATGTCTTAGTGGAAAGTTACTCAGAGTTACAAAAAAAAAAACAAAATGTTTCCTTTGATATTAAGTGAATCTATAAAACTTATATTATTGAGTAAATAGAGATACAACTGGAGATTATTTCTCGATTTTGTCTGTTTGTCATATCAATGTATTGTGGTTCTTTTCCATATTCTTGCCCTGAACATGCAAAAAAAAAAATTATTAAATTTATTCCATGCTTATAGTTTTTTTTCGCAAGTTTATTGGAAAAATCATTTATATACATTTATTTTTTAATTCTTTGTTTAAAAAGTAAACACTTTTTGATTAAAAAAAGGAATTTTTTAGGAAAAAAATTATTCTGTGTTTAAAGAAAATTCAAATATTAAAATGAGTTCCACAAACAATTCAAGATTTATCCTTAATTTGATGATTCATTGAGTAAACTGAATTAGGAATTAGTAATTTAAAATTAATTTCTTAGCAATTTTTTCTTTCACTTTTAGAATAAATAGAAGGAGTGACATGATGTTCATATTTGAAGACAAGGTTTAAAATCCATGATCAGATGATAAATGAGATATTGCAAGAAGGTTTCCATTATGAAATAGCTGAATACAATGGGTTAGTATAAACATGATAAAACTAAACCTTTCAGATGTTATGTTTAAATGTTACCAAGACCATTTTTCAAAAACATACATATGCATTAAAAAATTTATGAAAAAAAAAATTCACCTTATACTGAGATGAAATTTTTTAAAGTTTATTGAACAAAATCATTTTTTTACATTTACTTTTTTTTTACAGTTGAGTGGAACCACCACTAAACATTCAATTAAAAGAAATCTATCTGATATGATTGAATTGAGAAAAATATCATTTCTGAATTAAAGGTGGAGGAAATATTTTGGGATTCCTAATCATGATAGATCTATAAAAGCAGGAAGTGCATATGTTGTAACTGGTGTTATAAAAGGAAAATGAATAAAAAAATTAAAATGATTAAAAGTGCCAAATGATTTTTTGTAGTTATTTTTGAGGTTATTACAATAACTGAGTGTTGAATATCTTAGTAAAGTGATTTTGCAAGCATTAATGTGCAGTTTTCTATATCAGAAAATGAAGAAAAAGAAAAATATTTTCCTCTGTATTATGAGAGTCTATAAAGTATATATTATTTAATAATGATTGATGTAAAAAACTGGATATTACCTTTGACAAGTTTGTGTTTGTTTCTTGCATTAATATATTGTGGTTCATTTCCATTTTCTTTCCCTGTATATTCAGTAAAAAGAAAAATGTCATTATGAAATGGCTACTTATACTTTCTAAATATCAGGATAAGTGAGTGTGGAATGGTTAGCCATGAGTTTTACATGACTTAGTGCACAGTTACTCTGAGTAACAAACAAAAAGAATTGTTAACTTTATATTAAGTGAATCTATATAGCTTATATCATTGAGTAAATGGAGATAAAATTGGAAATTACCTTTGACTGTTTATATGTTTGTAATATCAATGTACTGCGGTCCCTTTTTATATCCTTCCCCTGAACATACAGTAAAAAGTAGAATATTATTGTATAAAATTATTCTCATGCTTATAAATTAAATTGTTTTGCCAAGTTTATTGGAAAAATCATTCACCATTAATACATTAAATAAATTAAGAATAAAAAAGCAAGAATGGCATTTTTGGTGGAAAATATTTTTTTGTGATTAAAATTCCTGATATAATAAAAAGCAAGTTAAAAGAATTAAAAAATGAGTTCTAATGAAAGCATCAAGCCACCATAAGATTCTGCTCTGCTATTTTCAATATTGTGGTGTATAATTTTGACCCATTCAAAATAGTTTTATCAAAATAAATTGAATTAGGATCATTTACTAATTTAGAATATGTGAATAAAAATTTCTTTTTTCTTTTGAACATTTTATTTGAGTAGAAACTCTTAGAACTTCTAATCATCCAGTATAAAAAAGTGTGGAATCATTAACAAGTTATTTGATATGCATCAGAGCACAGTTATTCTTAGTCACAAAAATAAAAAAAATTGTTTCATCTATATCATGAAAATCTATAAATAATATATTATTTAATAATGATTATTAAAGCTGAATATTACCTGTGACAGGTGATCTACTTGTTAAATCAATGTATTGAGGTTCATTTCCATTCTCTTGTCCTGAATATAGAGTAAAATGTAGAATTTTACTGTAAAAAAGTTTCTTCACATTTTTGCATTAAAAATCACATAAAAATTGATGATTCTTGAATAAAATATTGTTCTGTATATCCAATGTTATTTACTTGATGTATCAGAATAAGTGAATAAGTTGAATGACAATCATTTACTGATTTTAAATTCATTTCTCATTTCATTATTTAGGTTTTTTTGTTGAAGTGGACTTTATTGCAATGTCTAATTATCAGTATAATGAGTGTCAAATGATTATGCATGTATTTTACCCTCCCAGGTTACAGTTACTAACAAACAAAGAAATGACATTGTTTTTTCTGTATTTTAAAAATTTTGAATCAGATATTATTTAGTACTGATAAAACTGGGGATTTCTTTTTGACAAGTGGACTGTATATCCATTTAATATATAGGGGTTCATATCCATCCTCTTGCCTTGAACAGGCAGTAAAATGTTAAAATGTTAATTTAAAAATTAATTTCCATTTTTTTGTTAAAATGATTTTCAGCCAAAGCTGAAAACTTTCATAAGAATGGAGTTTGTATTTAGTAACCAACATTATCTTCCTCAGTCATCAGAATAAGTGAATAAAAAGAATTAGGATCATTTAATCAATATGATTTTATTTTTCTTTTATCTGGGGCTTTTGGTATAATTGACACTCCTACAACTACTTTTCATTATAATTAAGGATAGAATGTTTACCCATGAATTTTACATAGATTTTCAATTTCCCAAAGTAATAATGAAAAAAGATATATTCTTATAACAATCTATAAGGCATGTATTATTTTAGTCATAATTGATAAAACTGAAAATTACCTTCCACAGGTAAAATGTCTGATATTTCAGCATAGTGAGGTTCATGTCCATCCTCTTGCCCTGTTTTCATAAAACATTTCACAAATTAAGAAAAAAAAAAAAAATTTTCTGAATAAAATATCATTCAAAATAAAATATTGATATTCCTAAAGAAAAGCCGCCATTATTTGCATCCATTCATATCTTCTTCATTTTTCAGAATAAATGAATAAAATGAATGAATATAATTTACTCATTGCAAATTTATTTCTTCCTCATCTATCAACTTATGTAAATATGATGATGTCACTGAAGAATATCTTGATGCATTTTATATATAAAATCTATTTGATCATAAAACTTATCTTCAAAATTGAGCAAAGATTATGTATTATTCAATCAAATAGATAAATTAGTTTTACTAAAGATAATATTGTTATGATGATCAAAACAGTAGCAGTCGAAAGACTATGTTCACTGACTTAATGTTGCTGTTGAGCTAGAGTTATAACTCTCTTTATGCTAATTACATATTAACTAACCCACTCTTTTTTTTTTTTTTTCAATTCACCCCAAGCAAGACAGGAGTGCCACTAGCATGCAAGGGTTTACAGAGGATTGAGAACAAGAGTAAGAGGCGTGTTTGAGGAAAGGATACTGTTATGGTCCGGTTCCTTGTACCACGGTGATAGTCCAAGGTAGAATCAATAAAGAAGAACTCGAATACGGATATGGAATGGAATAACACAGATATATTACAAACAGGAATATATACAGAGAAGTAGAAAAGTGTTAGTATGAACAATCAGGTTTAGTAGTAATTGTTTGAATGCGACTCTGTTTCAGACTGCCTCTGACCTGACTGACTGACTGACTCTGACTGACAGACTCCTGACGGGCCTTCCAGACTTCAGACTGAACTCTAGACTTCAGGCGGAACTCTCTGCTTCCTCTTGAGGCACAGTATTTATTACATATGGAATAGTCCATTTGTCATTATGGGTCCCATAACAGATACGGAGAAGGACATGGAACAAGATCAAATTATCAGAAGATGTCAATTGACATTACAAGTGGATATTTGAAGATTATAGTTATCAGGGGAAGCAAGTAAGATGAAGGGAGTTTCACAGATGGGAAGTGTGAGAAAGAAGTTGTTTGAGTAGAAAAGACAATTATATTTAACCATTTCGACAGTGAAAGGATAGTACCGAGATGCCTGCCTAGATGCTTTATTAAATTCATGCAGTCTGGGAACCAAATAAAAGTAGCTTGTCAATCCATTACATCTCCTTGAAGCTTTTGGCTTTCATGCACTGTTTGGATCTATAGCTTCTCCTACATTCCTCTCCCCTCTCACTGGTTTCACAAATATTTTCATTATGGAGGGTCTTGATCTATTATTTTTATTCTCAGTGTTTGATGTTTTGTACTCCGAATCTTCCAAAACAATTTGATCATCCATTGATTATTCTGCCTTACATTCTTGTTCATTTATATAGTTCTCTGAACTAGCTTTGTTTTATACTTTCTCCTAATTTTGGCTAGGTCTTAAGAATGGTCTGCATGGGCAACAATATTTTTCCCATTTTTGCATAGTAATGCCATGTTGGATCCATTTTGCTTTTGAAATTCATCTTTCCCAGCAAATTCATTTCTTTTTACCATATGTTTTTTATTAATAAAGTAAGACATGGTTAATGGAGCTCTGATCTAACTGCCTATTTATGCAGATGGGCTCTTTAATCTGTCAGCATGTATTTTCATTTTAACTCAACAATAAACTTTGTAAGAAATTTTTAATTTTTTCTTCGAGAAGAAAATGCTTTCAATCACATAATATTTTTTTACAGTAATAGGGTCAAAAATTGTCTTTTTAGTAATTTTGTACTTCCTAATTTTGGCTAATTCAAAGTAAATTAAAAAACAATATAACAATCTATAAGGCATGTATTTTTTAGTCATAATTGATAAAACTGAAAATTACCTTCCACAGGTAAAATGTCTGATATTTCAGCATAGTGAGGTTCAGGTCCATCCTCTTGCCCTGTTTTCATAAAACATTTCACAAATTAAGAGAAAACAAAAAAGATTTTCTGAATAAAATATCATTCAAAATAAAATATTGATATTCCTAAAAAAAAAGCCACCATTATTTGCATCCATTCATATCTTCTTCATTTTTTCAGAATAAATGAATAAAATGAATGAATATAATTTACTCATTGCAAATTTATTTCTTCCTCATCTATCAACTTATGTAAATATGATGATGTCACTGAAGAATATCTTGATGCATTTTATATATAAAAATCTATTTGATCATAAATCTTTTCTTTAAAATTCAGCAAAGATCATGTATTATTCTATCAAAAAGATAAATTAGTTAAAGATAATATTGTTATGATAATCAAACTTAGTTGCAGTAAATAGTCTATGTTCACTGATTCAATGTTGTTGCTGAGCTAGAGTTATACCCTCTCTTTATGCTAATTACCTATTAACTAAACCAATCTCATTACATCTCCATGAATTTTTGAGTTTCATGCCCTTCATGGATCTACAGTTTCTCCTACATTCCCTCCCCCTCTCACTGGTTTCCCAAATATTTCTCATTATGGAGGACCTTTATCTGTTTCTTTTATTCTCATTGTCTGCTGTTTCATACTCCAATTCTTCTGAAGCAATTTGATCATCCATTGATTATTCTACTCTGCTTTCATGTTCATTTATATAGTCCTCTGAACTAGCTTTGCTTTGTACTTCCTCATAATTTTGGCTAGGTCTTAACTGGTCTGCATGGTTAACAATATTTTTCCCATTCTTGCATATTAATGCCATTTTGGATCTTTTTTGCATTATGAAATTCACCTTTTCTGGCAAGTTTTCTTGATTTTTTTTGCACCATATGTTTTCATTAATAGAGCAAGACATGGTTAATGAAGATCTAATCTGACTGCCCATTCATGCAGACAGACTCTTTAATCTGTCAGCATGTGGTATCATTCTGTAACTGAACAATAATCTTAGTACGAAAGTTTCAATCTTTTCTTGCTGAGAAAAAAGGCTTTCAATCACATCTTTATCATTTGGACCATTTGTTCATCAATCTCATTTGATTGAGGGTGGTAAGGAGATGTTTTATATGGAACACATCCAATCTTCCTTAACCATGAGCACAGATTATCGTCATTGAATTTGGAAGCTTTATCAGTTACTAATGTTTTTGGTACACCATTTCTAGCAAATATTATGTGTAATATTTGTTTTACAGCACTAGATTTTTTATCCTGAACTCAGAAAACTTCAAGCCAGGCTGAAAAAGTGTCAACCAGTATTAGACATAAACCTACACTGTTAACTTTTGCATGATTCATATGAACTCTAGACTATGGTTCTGTGTCCTTAGGGCAAGAATATAACTTATTGTGGTGAAAATTCTTTATTTTGACACATTTAGGACATTTGCGTACATACTTCTCCACATCTTGTGTGTATCCCAGCCACCATGCTTCCATTTTTAACTGTTTCTGTGTAGTGGTTATCCTACAATGCACATCATCATATACAGTTTTAATTAATTCTTTTCTATATTTTTCCAGTAGTACCACTAAATCCCCACTACAAATTAGACTATTTTCTTTTGATAATTTGTGTCTGGTTTCTTTGTATGGCCTTTCTGATTTTAAATAATTGCTCCATTTATTGTTCCTTATTCTAGATAAAATTTGACTTAAGATTGGATCTTGTAATATTTCCATAACTAGTGTATTCATGGCAATCCCACATCCATTTCCTGAACCAATGCAAAAAATTCATCCTCAATTTTTTTTTTTGTTTTTCATTTAGTTCATTTTCAAATTGTGGTCAGGACAATATGTCTATGCATGGTATCGTGTTTCCCTTCATGTATTCTATATCATAATGTGAAAATTTGCCAGCCATATCCCATCATCTTTTTAAATCAATTTTCATGAGATATTTCATTCCTGCTAGAGAATGTAGTATGTTTTCTATGTTTGGAATAGGGTAGGAATCTGAATAAATCTTCTGATTTATACCTACTTTGTAATCTCTGCAGATTCTAAAATCATCATCAGGTTTTCTCAAAACCACAATAGGCAATGCCCATTTGATACCTTTGGGTTCTACATATTGAAGAATGCCTTCTTCCACCATTTTCTACAGCTTATCAACTAACTGGCTTTATATGAATGGGAAGCCTACAGCTTTCAACATATGATGAATTGATATTTCTTTTTAACTTAAGGCTCATTTTATAGTTTTTTAAAGTCCCAGTTTTAATGTCCCAATATAGAAATAGAAAAACAGCCCCCACCTCTGACAAACCCAACAAAACAAAAAATATATTATTCTACCCATTAATTCTATCATAACTACAATTGAAAAGAATTTATCTAAACTCAACATAAAATTTGCCAAAACTACACCTAAAATAATAAAAGACTTAATCAATACAAAACAAAACAACAAGCCAAAACTTGAAAGAGAAATTTACTCTATCACTTGTAAGGATTGTCAGAAAGAGTATATAGAAGAAACCTCAAGAAGTTTAAATAAAAGATTATATGATTGGTTGTTCACCATAATGAAACTGACCACAATGTTGACATAAAAAATGTTACTCTCATTAAAAGAGAAAATAATTCACTAAGACAAAATGTCTACAAAGTGTTTTAATCACTAATTCACCCACAGTAAATTTACATCCATGTTCTTATAACGTTTCACCATTTTTGTCAGATTTTCTGTTATCACAATATGTGATATTTAATAACAAAGATGATGGAAACAAAAAGAAAAAGAATCTAGATGAATTTGGTTAGAAATAAAAAAAAAAGATTTTCTTAACTTTGAAACTCCCACCATCTCTAAGTCATGTACATATGTAGTCACAACAATGTAAATAAACCCATTGTAATGAAGTCCTAACAAATGAAATATGTCACAAAAACTTTTTCAAATTTGTCATACATCTTTTTTTTATATATATATATATATATATATATATATATATATATATATATATATATATATAAATCATTTATTAAAAGCTAAACATTTAAGATAAAATTTGTGTGCTTTCATTTAATAACAAATAAAGACTTACCATTTGACATTCTCAAATTATTTATAGGATTGCTGAAAATATTCAAATGTATTTTATTTGGAACAATGAAAAATAAAATAAAAAAATATATAAGGAAACAGTGTTGTTGAAGTATGGATATATATTTTTATAGATAGATTGATATAAATGTAGAAATGATCTAAATAAAGAGATAAGATCAACCATATATATATAAGCAATTACGTACACATACAGGTCAGCAAATAACTATTTATTTAATCAATGGTGTAGACAAAAACAATGTTCAATGAAGTAAAACAGAGCTATAAAGTATATATTAATAATTACACATATACCTACATTTACAGTACAACTCAGAGTTTCATAACTTTGCCAATCATCAAGTACAAAAAGTTTCTTTCACTTGATCCTTTTGTATTTATTTTGTATTTATCAACACTCTAAACATTTTTTAAAATAATTACACATGACCAATATACACCCAAATCAATTATACTAATATATGGTGGGAACGGATGTTGTTTTAAGATGAACAACTCATCCATAACTGATAACCAACAACCATGATAAACACATTCATTCCAAAGCCTCATATACATAAAGAATAAATGTTCCCATTAAAATAAATAAAAGGTGAAGATACAGCAATACTATAAAAGTCCTGTAATAATTTCACTTAACAAAGACTAAATATTATAAAAGGAATGAGGCAAAAGGATACAATTTCACTTAAACTATTTAAAGCAATCTCTGGAAAAGTATTTTCCAGAAACCAAATTGGGAAATGATGAATATTTGAAATGGAGAAAAGAAAAACAAAAAAAACAAAAAATAGAAAAGAATGTGGAAGAAAAATAAAATTTATTGAAAACAATGGATATAAAAAAAAAAAATTAAATAGTTCAATAATGTGAGAAAAAAATAAAGATTTAACGAAATACCTAAAAAATTTAAAAATGATAAAGAAAATAAAGTAATGGAAAAAATCAAAAACAGAATTAATAATAAGAAAAATGTTTAATGACCTATTTTTTAAAATGGTAAGTGCACAATTAATATAAAATGCTAGCTATGCTATAAAGGTGTGAAACAGAAAAAAAAACATTAAAAACAATGGAAAGGCTAATATTATGGATAAATCTAAGAAATAGAATCTAACCAACATGAATCAGGGAACAGACCAACAGTAAAAAATAGAAGTAATTAAATGACAAGAATGGATGTGGGCTGCTGATATAAGGAGAAAAAAGATGGCAGATAAGGTTCTAAATGGATAGCAAACATAGCAAGAAAAGATCAAAAGATGGAGAGAAGAAATAAAAGAGTTTGTTGGTAGAGAATAGTACAATTACAGATGTCATGGAACAACTTGAGAAAGGTATTTGTCCAGTTAGCCAAAGTACTAGATTGGCAACAAGTTCTTGTCAATTCAAAGTTAATTTGTCAATGTAAATGTAAGTTTTGTTTTTTATCTACCTTCTTGAATTCTTCTTTTTTTATTGATCTTCAAAAATTTAAATGCAATGTCAATTTAATAATGTTATCTACCTTCTTGATTCCTCTTCTTTTATTATTCTATATTCTTTAATAATGTTTTTCATATTCTTTTCAGTAACTCCATGAGTCTTAGTGGCTTTACTGTTTTACTTAGGGGTGAAATGATAAAAAAAAACAATAAAATGCTACATCTGCTGTTGATAATGATAGGAGGAATTTAAATTCTTACTTACTACTTACTAGTAATTACTTACTTTATTATTTACACAAAGAAAAAAAACAAGAGCTGATTGTTGCAAGTTACTTTGATAAACATTAAATTTAATTGATGTTCAGACTATATGACATTAATGCAATTTTGATTCATGCAGAATGTTTAAGTCTAATAACAAGAGCCTAACAAGAAATGCACTCCATGTGCTTAAAAATATATTAGATTGTTGGAAGGACAAATAGAAAATATCTCTTGTTATAATTGTTCATTAAAAATCTTTATTTGAAGATTAATATAAATGTTTATTAATAAAAAGTTAATTTCTAATAAGAGTATTACAAGAAATGCACACTATGTGCTTAAAAATATATTAGATCTTCAAATATTTTTGATTTCTTGTGACAATTTATGAATATGATTTTATCAGTAACTCATGAGGAGAAGCTTATTAAATAAAAATATTTGTGAAAGATAAAATTACTCACTTATTGCTTTGTGTTTTTTCTGAAAAAAAAATAATTGAAAATTCCTCTCACAATAAATTAGATATAAAAAAACAAAAACAAATATTACTTCTGTTCCACAATAAGTGGCCAGATCAACAATTTTTGAAATAATGGAATTGGTAACTTATTGAGGAATTGGTAACAAATAAGACATGTATTAGACATTGAAGAAAGAAATGTAGTTGTAATTATTCATGACTTTAGCAAAAGTCTTAAATATATAGATATAAAGTTATTCCAGTGATTGTAGAGAAAATTAAACTTACTTGATGATCTTCGGAATATGAAATAAACAATTCCACCAATAATAATAAGAAGAACGACAATTACTGCAATCACAGAAGATACTATTATATTAACTGGTGATCTGAAATCACTGTCTCTGGAAAAAAAAAAAAAAATATTAGGAAAAGTTTTGGGAAAAATAATGTCATTTATAAAAAAAAATGATTTCAAATCATTTTTACATTTTGAGCATCTTTAAACCAATAATAATTGTAGTGGTATTGGCAAACATGATTTTACTTATATGCATATGTTACTTATAGGATAAATAAAGTTTATAGTAAAGAGTCAGATGACAGAAAAGTTGACTACTGATCATTTGTCATAGAACAACACTATACAACAATATGATGATGCCAATAGAATGTTTAAGTTGCTTGAATGAACCAGGATTTGTCAAGACTTGGATCTGGTGTTTTGCAGCCTAGGCAAGGGCTAAAAAATTGAAAGACAGCAAGGCAAGAGGGGGAGAAAATGAAATAACTGACCACTTCCTAACTTTGGCAGGTAGTGAAGCTATAATGAACATTTCTATTATGGAATATCCCAAAGAGTTGGAGAATTTGACTTTCAACAAAAATTTTGGAAATTATAAAAGGAAATTTACAACCTAGAAAGAAACTTGTCATTGGAGAAAGAACCAAATTTCTTTCCATTAAACAGAAACAAGATGGGTCAATTATGCAATATCTTTATGGATTAAGAGGAGCTAGGCAAATTCTGTGAGTTTGAGAAACTGGGAACTCAAGATTTGACTATAGAGAATGAATTGATTCAATTAGATTTGATTGAAGGTATTGCTGATATAGCTCCTAAATATAAGGTATTGGAACAATTAAAATTGAATAATTTGTCACTAAATGCATGTCTGGAAGTTATACAACAGCTGGAATTGATTTGAAAGTATAATTCTACTAAGGACAATTTTGAAACAAGTATAAAAAAGGAATGCAAGAAATGCAAATACTGTAAGTATGAATAGAAAAAGTATTGACAAAAAAGTGCCCCACTTTTGGAAAAGTTTGCCATAAATTCGAAAAAAAGATTCATTTTCAGTCTGCATGCAAAGTTAATTTTTGTTGCAAAGTAATTTCATAAATCAATAGTAATATTTTATTTTATTTTAAGATATTTTTTAAAAATTTTTCAAAAACTTTTGAATTGAATCATGAAGATATATTGCTTTTGTATTGACAATTGAAATAATTCTTTGGTAACAGTTTTCATACTGACCTAAAGTCAATTCAAAAGTCCTTTCTCCAACTGGATTGATAACTTTTAAAGAATACTTCTGGATTTCTTTTTTCTGAATATCCAATTTCAAGATGCTGCAGTTACCAAGAAATGGAAATAATCCATCTTCTGCAGGAATGTAAGAAATTCTATTAAATGGCATTTCCTCATTCCCTTTGTACCATTTCACATCTGTAGCATCAGGATTGCAATAAAAACAGATTTTCAAAAGTTTCTCAGATCCAACAATTCCAGTTTCAGTTTTATTACCTTGGAAATGTGCTGCGACTGTAAAAGTGAAATATTTACAATAATGAAATAACATAAATTATCATGCAGAAAAGACTGGACCTTATTCCTATAATAAAAATATATGCAATTTAAAGAATAATAATTTCTAAATGTATTTAAAACATAATAATATTAGGTTCAGTAAATGTTAAATTGTTCATGATATTTATAGAATGTTCGTTAAGAAATCTTATAACTTTTCATGATATTTTCCCAAATTGTAATAAAGTAATCTCTGATGTGAGATAAAGGCAGTTTGTTTACAATCAAAAGAAACATTTATTCACAGGGAAGTAGTTTAGGTTACAAGAAAACATCATTACTAATTTTCTTCCAAGTAATGAAATTATACATATAACTGGGTACAGAAATATCACATGAAAGTCTCTATTTTTAGGAAAAGTGTTCTTGCAACTGGTCCCTGAAAGGCAAGCAATAATTAAGGGTATAAAAATCTTTTAACTCTGTGATATTTGAAGAATACTGTTTGGGAAGAGCTGCGACAATATACATCTTCATAGGGTGAAATCTGGAAAAGCAATAAACATAACTCTCTGCCTTATGTAGGGGTCAGTAAATAAAAGAGAGAGAATTCTCTTTTTTCTCACTAAAGATTTATCACTAAGTGGGATAAGATGTTTCACTCTACCAAGGGCAGATAACTGATATATTGCGATGCCAAGTCAGGGCAGATAACATTGCAGATTCTACTATGGATTTTATCAAGAATCTCTAAATATATAGCAGAAGCACCAGACCAGATGTAATAGCAATATTCAATGCATAACTTTCCTATCAGTATAAAAAAAAATATATATATAATATATATATATATATATATATATATATATATATATATATATATGAAATATAAAAGGAGCCAATATTGTATGTTGCAGCTAAAGTAAAATGCATGACAAGAAATGCTGAATCCTGATCCATCCTGTCTGCTTTTAAGAACACCACTCATGATACAGTTGTCATATCTTGTTGGCACTTCCACATATTTTAAAAACAACTGGAAGAAAAAACTTAACCAGTGATCATTATAAAACTGATCTATTCTGGCAGCCAACTGCCAGCCCACAATGCCAGCCATCATTGTCTGCAGCTCCAGCATACCATCAGTCGCCATTCCAGCAATCTCCAGCACCAGCTATCCTTGCCAGCAGCAATCATATGCAATAAACTGTCCTTTTCTGCAACCACAAAACTGTTCTTTTGAGGAAAACATTCTTCAGCAACTACAAAACTGCCCTTCTCAGAATGAGGTTCTTCTCTCTCTCAGCATGAAAATGCAGAGATATTTTTGCCTTGTGCACTATAACCTTATTTTTGTTGATGTATTTTCTTTAATGAAAATAAACTTGGCCATATATTTTTTTACTCATGTTGTCATTTTGCTTGTTGTTGTCCATCATCATTCAATATCAGTTTGCAGGCCAACATACCACCTGCAACACAGTCATCCGTTGCAGTGAGCAGGCAAGGTGTCAATGTCCAGTGACTTTGGTCAACTGACACACACATGAACTTGAGGTCTTATCGAGTCTCCCCATCTTCCAGGTAACTTCTCTTGTCCACATAGAGACATTTCACTTTGATTCACTATATCAGCAATACTATTCTTGTCTTCTTTCTGCTAGAAAATAAATTCTTTGAGTAGAAGTGGCCTTTTGCATAAGCCATTTGAACAGTAAAGTGGTGGACCTATTTACCAATCTAGAAACACTTAAATTCATCTAGTTGGGGCAACAGAAAAAAATGTTCATTAGAGGAGTTGCCATGAAAATATTTGTAGAAAAGACAGAAGGAAGCCATATCACATCAATGAGAGAGAGTGACTGAAGTTGACATGCCTGATCAGGATTAACTACATTACAAATCTTTCATTGTATTTTGTCAAGAATCTCAAGATATGCAGCAGGAACACCAGACCAGATATAGACACTGTATTCAATACATGGACAAATGACAGATTTATAAATATTCACTATGGATTCAGATGAGAAAGAATTTTTGGCATAACACAGTGAACCATCTTTCCTTTCAGTAGATGAAACAATTGATTCGATATACTTTCTTCACTTCATGTCAGTGAAAAACGTGTGGTCCAGAAGGCATAGTGTGTTGCTGATGGGAGGCAAAAAAGGTTCTCTGTGTTGATTAAATGAAAGAAGCTTTGTTTTAGAGGCATTCAAATTTACAAGCCATTTCTTGCCCCATTTAACCATTGATTGGAAGTCCTTTTCAAGAGCCATTGCCAGGTTTACTTTGTTGGATTTTCTATTGAGGTAGGAGTAAATGGGAGTGACATCTGCATAAATGTTGGGAACTGATGACATTGAGGAGATTTTTGAAGATCAGAAATGATGTAGATCCCAGGATAGAGCTCTGAGGACCCCCCCTCCCCAATGTTTGTATGAAAAGATCTAGAAGCTGGCCCATTCAACACAACCTTCATTACATGATTTATTAGGAATGACTGGATTAAGCTAAATATTCATGTCACACCATAACACTTTTCCTTGTGTAGAATGCCTGCATGCCAAACCCTGTTGAACTCCTTTCAGATATCTAGAGCCACAGCCCATGCTTTGCCATTCTTATCTAGAGTTTGATGGACAAATTCAGTGATGGTCATTAACACATTAGTGGTAGACCTGGCAAAATGGAAGCTATATTTTTTTGCATGAAAGGAGGTTGTGTGAAGTAAGATGTTTAACCACTTTGGCATTGATTAGAGCCTCGAGTACTTTGCTGAAAAGCAGTAAGAGGCTAATGGGGTGATAATTTGAGGTGTCAGAGTTCTTAAAAATGGGGGTACAGAGGAGGGCTCCCCACAAGCTGGAAGGAATGAAAAATATTTATAATGATTTTAAAAAATAAAGAAAGCACAAAAAATTCAAATTTATATATGTATATATACTAAACATTAAGTTTAATTTCCAAATTTCCCCAAAAATAAAATAAGCACAAAACATATTTCTTTACTTTTAGGCAATTATTAAATAATCACCAATTTTGAGATTTTTAAAACTCATTAGGATTTAGATAAAAAAAAGAATCAACTTATATTCACCATTGAGTTGAATTTCCACAGATGTATGTGTATAATATCCTTTGTCGGGTACATCATTGCTAGCCTGACATATCCAGTTTCCTAAATCATAGTAAGAAAAATTTGGGAAACTCTTTTTTTTTGCAGTAATAATTCTTTTTTCTTTGTTTCCCCATTTTTGTATTATTTTGTATTGAATATTATTTGGTCTGGCTTCAGCTGTGCAACTGATTTCTGCTTGTTCATTTAAACTGGTGACCTTATGATGAATTTTAATTTCTGGTGGATCTGGAAAGAGAAAAGAATTTGTGAATAAAAAGTATGAGGAAAAATAATCATTGATTATTATATGATTATATAAAAAATGATAAAATAATCACATTTTAGGTGTATGCAAACACACACATCAAAATACAGGAATACATAAATCATGATCATGAGTTCTGTAACTTCCCTCTGAGTCATAGGGGCACCACATGTATGGCAGCCACAGTAGAAGTGTGTGTGTCTTGGGTAAGATAGTCTGACAAAGCTCAACCTTGTCTAGGATGGTTTGAATTCAGAGTTTGCCTTCTTTTAGATCACCCAAACCTATAGAACACAGTTATTTGCCCATATTAGCTGGGGAGGGGAGAGAAAAGATGGATTCACAGCTTTCCCAAGGGTATTTGGACATAAGTGAATATAATGAATTCAACTTGAATTTGAATTTCGTTCTCCGATTCCTCGGTCTGAACTGCAATACATTACTTCACTGTGCCTCCAGATGCATAAGTGCAGATCATTAAATTGTCAACAAAATTATGTTTTCAAAATTTGTTGAATAAAATAAAAATGAATTTATAGTTAGTGGAGCAATTAAGAGTAAAAAAAGATTTCCATCTTAAAGGATTGGGTGATTAAAAAGTAAATCAATTTACTTCTTAACCTTCTGCATTTTAATTTTATAAAATTATCATCAGTCAATCATTTGACCTCTGTCATCAGCCAATCATCTGTTGGCTAAAAGAGAACTATTCTAACTAATATAAAAAACAAAAAAATAGCAGTTAATTTATGAGAAAAATACTTACATGTGACAAAAATGGAAATGTTTTTAGAACTTTTCAAAATGCCATCTTGGGAGCTGTTAGCTGTTGCAATGCATTGAACTTTACTTACATTAAAACGAGTAAAAGAAACTTGCAACAACTTAGACTTGTAAATCTGGTTTCTAATTTTCCATGTTATTGTTGGTTTGGGATTTCCTTCTGCCAGACAACTAAATTCATTTGTTTGATTTTCAATCACTGTCATATTATCAATTGTATTTATGATGGGATAATCTGAAAATATAAATAAAGGATAAAGATCATCTTGAGATTTATGAATGAAATGGAAAAGTTCAGAAGGTTTTTGAAAACTGAATTTCTATGCTTACATTCTCTAAGGATTAATGTGATAAGTCACTTTATTTGTATTTATAATAAGTGGAGATAATGAACATAATATGGAACTAACTGTAGGGAAGACTTATTTCTAATAGAAATAAAAATCACAATCATTGTTTTGTAATGCACGTTTGTAGGAGAGGCTTTGTAAATCAAAGATACAATGATAGTAATGCCTTCGAACAACACTGGGTCAGATGCTGCTAATTCCATATATATATATATATATTTTTTTACACATCACATGATCTAATTATTTCAAGATGATGTCGATTGTGCTTGCTCTCTGGTGATTTGTGTTCAAATTCAAATGTTGGCAGGGACACTTTATTCCTATATGGCACCTCCCCTTTGAGGTGACTTCTTCTGAGTCTTTATTTCTTTAACTTCAGTATTTAGAAATTCTGTTGTCTCTTACCATAAAACCTTGGTTCAACAATTTCTAATGCCGTGGGTACGTCAAAGGTTTCAATAAAATTTCCAAAAAGGAAATTCTTTTGACTTTTTAAATCAATGAATTTTTTTTTAACTGATAAGGTACTTATAAAACCTTTGTACCTGTAACATGTTGCCATTTTGCCAAACTGTTTTTTTTATAATGCCATCTTCCCAGAATTCTTTTTTCCATGATGGTACATTTTAAACAGTACCTTATCTCCAGGTTTGAAGTATTTACTTATATAAATTTCTTGGCCTGCATTCTGGTAATAATTATTAAAACTGACTTAATCTTTTCATGGCAAACATCAACTCTGCACACGACATTCCAGACATGGTGTTCAAGTTTGATGTTATTCTGAAAACATTCAGAAATTGTTTAGCATTATTTGACCTCTCCTTCTGACTTTTAAAAGTATTGACAAACCGTTCCACTTGTCTGTTTGCTTTTGGATGATAAGGGGTGTTGTAATATGTTTTATTGCTAATGATTTAAAAAAACCTTAAATTCACTAGATGTGAATTGTGTGTTGTTATTTGAAACGATATAGTCAGGAAGACCAAACCTTGCAAAAATCTTTTAGGAAATTTATCGTTCATGGTAGTCGGTCTTCTACATTTTAATATTTCTGGCTATTTAGTGTAACTATTGATTACCACAAAATAGTATGCTCTGTTTAACGGTCCAGCGAAGTTTATATGTATTCTGGGAAATATTGGTTTTCAGTTAAAAAAATAGGCCAGAGCACAACCTTGCATGATTTCACTAAATTTACAATATCTTGATCCATTTTTGACCAATAAATGTAACACCTCATTAAAGATTTCATTCTAAAATTCCTGGATTATGTGAAATTTTTTAGTATAAATTTTGCAATGATGCTGGTATCACAATTCTTTCTGCATAACATCATTACATAATGAAAATGCATTATTTCCAGTTACATTTTTTCCTTTAAATCTTAATTACTTCTTCATTTTCATTTAAAGTCATTTTTTCTGACTTAATTCTTATTTCCTCCAATTTTATCGGCAGTTCTCTTACAGTATTACTTACATTATTCATTTTCATTTGTTTTTTTTCAAGTGGTTCACAGAATTTTGGTATTAGTCTAGATAATCTAATTTTTGGATGGGAGAAACTCCATTTTATAATTATAGTTCAATAGGATAATTCCCCAGTGCTGCAGTCTATTTGCTGTATGTGTGGAAACACCATTTTTTGATCCATATATGGACAATAATAGTTGATGGTCTGTCTAGTATGAATTCTCTACCATGTATGAATTTATGAAACTTTTTCATAGCAAATATGATAGCTAGTGCTTCCTTTTCTATCTGACTGTAGCTTTTTCAGTTGCAACCAATGATCTTGAAGCATGAGCTATTTGTTTAGTTTTTCAATTGTGTAGTATCACCATGCCAATATTCGAATCACTTGATGCAACCACAATCTTTAATTTAGGGTCAAAATGAGCTAGTGACAAATTCAATGTTAAGACTTTCTTGATCTCTTCAAAAGTACTTTGACATTTATCTGACCAATTCCATTTCACATCTTTCTTTAGCAGGTTTTTCAAGGGTGCTCTTAATTCATGCATGTTTGGTAAATATATATGATAATAATTAGCAAACACTAAAAATGCTTGTAACTTTGTTACATTTGTTGGTGCGGTCATGTCTTTTATTGTGTTCGCTATTGAAGGTTCTAGTCATCTACTGTTTTCATCGATAATTTGTCCTAGATATTTAAGTCTGGTCATAAACAATTTGCATTTTCCTTCAATTATCTTAAAACCATATTCTTTAATTCTCTCAAATAATTTTTACACCTCCCATATGTTGCTTTTGGTCTCACTTTTAATAAGTACATCATCTAAATATGCATGCAGTATTGAGTTTTAGATTTACTATATGTTGATACTCTTATGCTATTTTCTGGAGACTAAATTTTGGATCCATTTCTAATTTAGTAAATATCCGGGATCTTATTTTCATGTTCTTATTAGAAGTTAAACCCTGTACAAATATTAATCATTTAAATAAGTCCAGAGTTAATTCTAACATTCTTGATTCACAACTCCTGCAAAAGTGACTAAATCTTCATCGTCACCATTTACTAAGTTAAAACATTGTCATCGTGCATTAAATAATGAGCTCCTATCACCAAAAATTTTTGATAGTATTACAGCAGTTTCATTAAAGTTTATCTCACCTGTTTTTTTTTTTATTTTTATTTTTTTTTTTTTTTTTAGTTTTTTTTTTGGCAAAAACTCACAAATTTTTCATGTTCAGCAGGGGACAATTTTCTTAATAGCAAACAAACTTTCTTTTCATCATTCCAATATGAACAATCCCTTTTGAAGACCCTTTCTTATCTTCTATAATAAGCTGGAAAAGTTATCCCTTTGTCTGGAATGTATACAAATTTGCTAATTGAATTAGCAACAGCATCTGGAGTAAATGAATCTGTAGTCTTTTCTTCCGTAGTTTCAGTAAATAATTCAAAAATTTCTGTTGTTGTTGTAATTGCTGTTCATGTTGTCTTTCATATTCTTATTGTAGTTTTGTTGTTGAAACTTGTCTTTGCTGCTGCAATTGTTGTCCTTGTTGTAGTTTTTTTGTTGCTGCAACTGTTGTTCTTATTGCTTTTGTAGTGCCAACATTTGAATCATGATAGCTTTTAGTTCCTCCATTTTGCTGTACTCCATTAAATATTTTGTAGATTAATTTTTGAATAACTTTGCCTGGTGATTTCTCTTTAGTTCTGCAAATATGACATCTCTTTGGTGAAGTGGTAAATATTACTGAATATCCTATTACGATGTGTTGGATACGTATATTTTAATTTTGTAAATTCAACGAATACTTGTTGCCATTTTTAGCACATCTCATCTGGTGCATCTGTTATAAATCTTGAGTCTCTGGAGAAAATCCAAAGAAGAAGTTCTGGTATTGTGCCTGCAAGAGGCAAAGACAATTACAGGTATATTAAATTAAATTCATGACTTTAGTATGAGATTGGTAGCTAGTCTCATCATTTTACTTTCGAAATTACTAAATGTAATCATAAGTACTACTGTAATAGTTTCTTCTCTAAGACTTCTTGTCTGAGGAAGTCTTTTTCAGCTTTTTGCTTTCTATCAATTACAATGTGCAAAAATTTAAATGCAACATCAATTGTCAGCTTCTGTCTCCTTCAATGCTATTCTCTTATTGTCCTTTCTTTATTCTATTGCCTTTCATCCTCAGTAACCACTTGCATCTTGCTTGGAGTTTGAAAAGAAAAAAGAAACAAAATGGGTTCAATGAAAAGAGGTGGGCTTATAATTAGTGTAGGAGTTGATTGCACTTGTTGAAAATAAAATAAACAAAAATTAATCAATTAATAACATTTCATCTGATATATTCAGTGATAATGTTTATATTATTTTCAAATAAAAGAATAAAGTTGAAATGAATGGATCTCAGATGTATTAATTTGATTTTCATAATAAAAAAATCAAACTTTTAGCAACAGAAGCACGGCTAACGTTTACAGGATGCGATGGGTAAATTGTCGCCATTTTATATTTTGTGTGTTGTTTGTTTTTGATTTTGTTGACTGCACAGTATATCAGTGTTAGTTGGATACCAACTGTGAGAAAAAGATAACCTTAACGCAATTCACTCCACCATAAATTTGGAAACGGTATACTGTACTGCTTGGCATTTGCACTGGAAGCTCCAATACAAAAATTTCAGTGTGTTTGAGTGTCATAGTGTTTGCAAAAGAACATATCAGTATTACACTTAGTCAAATGAAGGCAAAGCACATCATCTTGTAAATGACTAATATGAACATCAAAATTATATGGCTTTTTACTATTAAAATACAACTAGCCATACAGTATATCAGTTAACATCAGAGAGAGGAGGTGCTAAATATTCATTCCTTTTCATGCATTTGGATATTGTCACCCAAAAATGACTTTTTTGACTGAAGGAAAAAAAAAATTTTGCTTGATATTTCATTCTCTCTACCACACTGGAATTTTTCTTCGTTCTGCTACAAAACTAAGAAGATCACAGACCATATTCCACAAACCTTTGATTTATTAGGGGATATATGTAAAATTATTAGAATAAAAATCTTTTCCGCGTTCATCTAATCCTTACACATGATTCTATTATCAAAATATTTTCTGAAATGAAAGGCATTAAAAATGAATAATTATAAAATTTGTATTCAAATAATTTTGCATCATGCAAAATATCAATGTTAAAACAAATGAATTGTATTTGCCAAAGTAAAACTTACATTCTACATTGAGTTTTATAGTTGAAGATACAGGATTACATTTATGATGCCCATTACAAGTAAGTGTTTTTTTGTTCAAGGCTCGAGTTAAGTTTATTTTAATTACATTTGCAGGAGGATAATTGCCAGGTGACCATGTGTAATTGTAAACTTCAGGATTACCACCTGATGCCACACAAATTAAAGATGCAGTTTGCCCTTCAAGATATGATGTCTGACTGATTGTTACTTTATTGGGAGGATCTGTAAAATAAAAGAATAAAAAATTATTGAAGGCAAATACTTGATGATATTTTCATTGATAAAGGGAAGATATGCTAGAGAGTGACTTAAATTAATGCCAGATAAAAAAGATGTATAAATGATAAAAGATCCATGAAAAGTCTGCATAAAGATACATAAAGAAGAGATAGATACACATGTTCCTCTTCATCCAAAAAACTCCAAATATCTGCAAAATGTTTACACAGTTCTAACATTTAAATTATTTTTTCTTATACGATTTTATTATTGTGGTTTTTATTAAAAATAATTTTATAAGATAAATACACATGGTCATCATCATCAAAAAAAACGGTTATGCAACAAGATTCTGGAAAGAACATATGTCAGGCTGTCAGAGTTTGGATATTCTATTATAGTCCTTTTGTGTGATTGACAAAAAAGCAATTTAAAAAAATGGATTTTTGTTAAAAATTAGCTTAACAAACACAAATCTTTTTTTTTTGCTTCATAACTTGCTATTATTAGGTCACCTTGCCATGATGTAATGCTTGGTAAGATTGTCTCATTAGAACAACTACAACTGAGTATTGAATTCGATCCTCACTGGGTGCCTCATACTTTAGGCTTTGTGTCATATCTATGGTACTCTCAGGAAAATTGCCATAACTTGCTCGTGGTTTAAAAATACATTCTGCTTAATAGTGAATTGTTGAATAATTTCTAAGTGTTTGGGTAATGATTTTTGAATGTGTTTGAGGATTGTTCAGTAATATTTTTATCCACTTCTTCTGGATATCTAGAATTGGAATTACTTTAATTTTAACAAGACCAACCACTTTTTACCTTAGTAGAATTTAAGATGCTGAAGTGACAACATCAGTGTTTCTCTTTGAAGGACTGTTATATATGTAGTTTCAACTTTTTTCATCAAAAGGTTATATAAGTTTACTTTTTCATATTTACCATATTTGGAATTCACAAATTTGGAATTTGATTTAATCACAATGAACAACTTAAAAATAAATTATTTTCGTTTGTTTGTTCGGTGATCTGATTGCCCAGAAACTAAACAGAAAGCAGGAATTAGTCAAAATAGAGGGGAGAGAATAGAATCAAGACAAGATGTTGTTATACTTTGTTGCAATTAGATTTTTTTCTGCATGCCAATCGGATGTTACCGCCATGAAGGCAGAGAATGAAATAAAAAAGTCATAGGCTCCACATATCATGTCTGATCTATGAAGTGAGCTCTGGCAGTGGCCAATCACGAAAAAAAGATGACTCTGGGGACTATCAGATCTGCTTAAAAGCAGATGTCTGAAAACAACCAGGGTGGTTGGCTCACAGGGTGCTGCTGCTGCCACCACCATTGCCACTGTCATTCACTGCCATCTTTTAATGTTACCACTCCTTTCTGCTATCAGTTCAAGGCTTGAATGGCCACCTCAACTGTCTGGCTTCAGCATGACAATACCTCATCTTCCAACTCATAATGCTCACATCCTCTGCATCGGTAAAGTCAGGCTCGTGACTTCTCCTAACTCATAATGCTTGCATCTTCTGTATTGACAAAGTCAGATTCGTGATTTGTCCTGACTCATAAACTCACATTCTCTGTATTGGCAAAGTAAAAAATTATATGACTTCTCTCAACTCATAAAACTCACATCCTTTGCATCAGCAAAGTCAAATTTTGACTTCTCCCGACTCTTAACACTTTTTTTTATGCATTGGCAAAGTCAGATTCATGTCATGTCCCGATTCTTAACATTTGCACCCTCCGTATCAACAAAGTCAGGTCATGACTTCTCTTGACTACTCACGCTTGCACTCTTGTTTCATCATAGATTTGTAGCAGTGCTAACCACTCCAGGAAAACACCTCGGCAACCCAACTCCATCCCCTCGCCATAACCAACATGTATAAGGCATAACCTTGCAGCCATCACCATGAACCTGTTACACAGAACAGGCCTACCATCTCCGCAACCAAGCTACCACTGCAAGCAGCGACTCTGAAAACAAGCAACTCTGACTCTACCTAACAAATGACTGATTTCACAAGCATGCAACCCATTCAACTCACCACTGTGACACCAATCCACCAACATGTATGAGACCGTCCCACAGAACAGACCAACCAACCTCATCACTCGCCAACCCAAAGCCAACCTCAGAATAACCAATGCATACCCCGACTATACCCTATGACCTTCCGGCTTTCCATTTAACTCAGATCACTATCCAGACAACGAACCAGAAATGCACATTCCACCTATTTTGTGATATCTATACAACACGATATATGTATATACTAATAATAAACATTGTTCAAATTCTAATCCTTGTTTTTTCCTTTCTCTTGCATCCAAACACTTAAATAACATTATGAATTTCAGAAAAGGGAAAGGAGGGACATTACATAATCAATGTGTTTTCACATGGAACAGGTAATGTCGCAAAAACATTGATTAATGTTCCGTGGTGCTGACATGTTAAAAAAGATGAAATAAAATTAATTCAAGGAATCATTTTAAATTATTATTTAGTCACAACAGTTTATTCCAAAATAAAAATAAATCATCTACATACAATAAATATCCAGATATTTTCAGGTAAGTCACTTATTTTAATATAAGTTCTATTTAAAATACAATTTCAACTCATTTCTTAAGACAAAACAAAAAACATAATCAGAAAAACCTGGTAAAATTTAAGTACTTTCAATATTACTACATTTTCATTTATCATACTTGGAAAGGGATTAGTTTCTCAATTTTTAATTGGATTAGGTTTAATCACAATGAAAGTTTTTGAAGTAGTGTTTGTTTAGTATTACCACTAATTAGCATATGTGTATGAGAAGATATGTATATGTTCGTTATGTAAGATAGTGGCAATGGTATCTCTCCTATTCATACTGCTGACAAATCTCAGTTGAGTTTCTGTCTTCAGGAATCATTTTAAATTATTTAATCACAACAGAAATTTATTCTAGAATAAAAAAAAATCATCTACTTACAATAAATATCCAGATATTTTTGGTACAGTCACTTATTTTAATATAAGTTCCATTGCAAATAAAAATTCAGCTCATTTCTTAAGACACTGTTTTTTATGATAAAAACTTTGTCCTTGCCTGATCTCAGAAAAACATGATAAAAACATTCAGGATTAGCACCTTTCCATTTACGATATTTGGAAAGAGACTCATTTCTCAATTTTTAATGAATTAGTTTAATCACAATGAAAGTTTCTGCAATAGTGGTTGGTTAGTGTTACCACTAATTAGCATATGCGTATAAGATGTTATGTATAGGATCACTATGTAAGATAGCGGCAATGGTACTTTCCCTACTCGTACTGTTGATATGTCTGAGTTGAGTTTCTGTTTTCAGGAAGAGCATGTAGAGTGTAGAGGAAAAAATATTGATAGGTACCCAGTTCTAGTTTGTGGTAGTACCCCATCACCGTACCAAATACGTGGATTGGTAGTAATACCAATGTTAGCACAACCGATGTTTGTTTGACAGTTTTTGCCTTTAGTCTGGATACGCAAGCTTGAGTGACCCACATTAAAGGCGACCTCATGTCACATCATGTCACATCATGTCATCATGTGGTGATGAGTATATACCATGGTACTTGTCTTACTCATACTCATAATGTCTTGTGTTATTGGCCAACAGAGGCGTTCAATCTTTTGCTGATAATATTGCTCAAGCCTCAAGTGTTCATCCTTTTCTTAAGACACTCATTTTTTAACACTAACAGAACTTTGTCCTTGTCTGATTTCAGATAAAACAGAATAAAATTAAAATACCTTCAGGGTTATTATCTTTCCATTTCCCATATTTAGGAAGTGACTAGTTTCTCAATTTTAGAATTGGATTAGGTTGAATAACAATGCAACTTTTGGTTAAAATAAGGCAAAATCATTCAATTTTAAAATCATTTTAACAAACAGAAATTACAATTCATTGTATAAAAAATAATGTTGGAAAAACATTGTAATGGATTATAATTAACGGAAAGCAATTAATGAATTTATAAACTTTCGAGATTGGTGATACACTTTTTACAGATACATTACTTTTGTTCTCTTAATAAATAAATATATAATTTAAAATGCATATAAAAATAATTAATTCAATGAAAAATTTGGCTCCTAATTTTTGAAAGAATTATGCTAAAGTTTATTATGCTTTAAGTTAATATATTATTGAAAATATTGTGTTCAAAAGAATGAACAAAAGTATGTAATAATGTATAACAGATATATCCATGATGTGTGATATCAGGGAGATAAAAACATTTATTTTTACAATGATTTCCAATTGTTTATTCAGAATACAATCAAATAAAAAACTTAATAATAATAACTTTGAATATTTTTTTTGGGGTACAAAATTTTATGACTGCTATTAAAACAAAATTAATGGAAGAAAGAAGAAAAGTATTATTACTGTAAACGATAATTTAAAAAAAGAGAAAGAGGAACAAAACAGACAGATGACCGGTTTTCATTTCTCTCTCTCTCTCTCTCTCTCTCTCTTTAAAGATCCATTGAGGAATTCTATTGTAATTGTAGTTGTCCCTCCCTTTGTTACTTAGCACAACCGTTATGTCCTGTCAATACCTCATAAATAATGGACTATTCCATGTTTCGATTGTGTGGAAAGTAAGAAAAAAAACATTACTTGGTGTCAGTGAGAATATGAAAGAAAGACGGGAGGAAAAAAGTGGAGAGAAAATCAGATTAAGTTGATAAGAACAGATACTACACGTTGATCTCAACCAAAACACAGAGAAGTGATGGCAATAATGATAAAAGGAGAAGAGGAATAAATCTGACATATTTTCATTCTTTTCTCACAATGAAAAGGAGAGTAATGAGGGTAAACACACACACACACACACACACACACACATATATATATATATATATATATATATATATATATATATATATATATATATATATATATATGTTAATAATATACTAATATATGCATATTTATAATATATTAATATACATATATAATTTAAATAATAATTTTTAAACATAATAGAGATATTATATAAATTAAAATCATCTACTTACATTGAATATCCAGTTCTTCAGTTACACTATCTTCTTTACCAATATGCTTTCCTTCACAAATACAAAATCGACTCATTTCTTGAGTCACTGTTTTTTTGATGCTAACAGAACTTTGTCCTTCCTTGACTTCAGAAAGACATGATAGTTTTACAATAGCTTCAGGATAACCACCTTTCCATTCACATTTAATTTCTGTAGATTTCCCTGCACATATTCCAGACTGGGACAAAATGATTCTTGGCTTTCCTTGAGGTGGATCTGTCAAAAAGAATATAGTGAGTGTATAAGTGAGTGTAATGTTATTTTCAATTTTCTATCCGTATGCAAAATCTATTTTACACTTTTAACAAGTCATTGTATAAATGAACAATGTTAGAAAAAATTCATATATACTAATAAATGAATAGTATGCTAATATACACATATTCTGTTACCATAGTACAGAAAACTTAGTGTTTATTTCCCCATTTGTTTGTCTCTTTTTTAGGTTAGATACTTTTTAGATTGGTTACCGTTTTTTACCACTTTTGGTTAGCCCTTAATGCGAGGAATCTGACACAATAAAGGCATCACACCAAGCATGTGGTCAGTAGTTTTGTAGGTGTCCTTCCACTTGGTTATAGATTAGAAAGTAATGTATTTTTGTTTTGGTTAATAAAGTTCTGGAATAGAATATAAATTGTCTTTGTGTACATATGTGACAAAGAATGGAATGTTGTTATATGTGTGCTTGTGTAAAAGAGTCAGCATGTGCGTGCATAGTTAATAGTAAAGAGGATACAAGTTAGAATTTGGTTCTTACTGTGAACTGTGGTGCTGCAGTCTGATAAGTGTCTTTGTAGTTCGTCAGCACTGTCACTTTTAGCATGTAGACGTGAATGAGATTGTGAAGATTATCAGTGAGAGTGATGTGAACCTTAACAGGGCGGATCGACCGCGTAAACGGGATCGCGCCGAAGTGTAACACTTGGCGAAGCTGGTCAGAGAGGTGATACATCTTCCAGGACGGATCGACCGCGGAGACGGGATCGCGCCGAAGTGTAACACTCTCGACAAAGCACCGGAAGCTCACAAAGGCAGCGTACTACACTTTGATCCAGGATATTTATTCATACAAAATGTATAAATTGTGGCACAAGGCCGAAAAGGGGAGGGGTAGAGGCTGGTCAACACTATCTTATACCTAGCTAATCAGATTCACAACCCATTCATACATTACAATTTACTCATTCACCACAAGAACTCATCCATCACTGTTCAATCCTCCATCCACCATAATACCACATCCTCTCCAGGATAATACACATGTAAATATAACAAGCAAATCACATTAAAATTGACAAACATTTCTTTTTGCACAAAGTAGGTTGCAGAGATCTTTTGAATGGCAGCCTGAATGCGACAAGCTTAAAACAGGAAACATACTCTCATGGTAGGACGTGGTTCAATAATAATTATTTTGAAATGAAAGGAAAGGCAGAAATGATAGGATTTTCATAAATGGCAAAGAAAGATATAGAAAAAGATAAGAAAATTAAGAAAAGCCGACCAGTCCTTGTTCATCTAGATTATTTAAGCTTTTTAAATTAGAATTAATTTTTATCAACAGTTTTTGGAAATGTAAAAAAAAAAAAATCAAATATATCCTGGTTCCTAAGTATTATATCTGTATTATACAATATGAGAAAATATCTCAATAGTATTCTTCTTGAAAATATAAGAAAAATGTCTGTTCCCTCTAGAAGTTTATATTTGAATAAACAGGACTGCTTATGTTGGGTTATCTCCTCCTAATTTTTGAAACTGCTCCTGGGGATGCTCTCCGACACTATAAATACTTTGTGATGTTTCAGCAGTATCTTCAACTTACATTCTGCGCTTACACGTCAACATGTAAGTCTCTCATGGAAAACACAATTTCCCTTTTTTGGGAAATGCATGAACACATATACATATGTACACACTTTCACTCACACCACATCCTTTGAACAAAACAAATCTGCCATGTTTGTTTTGGGCATTTCAGGAGACATTGTGGACTCTTCTAATTTTCTAACCTTCTCCAACCTTAAAAAGCATAATCCATATTATACGCCTACGCGCAGATAACGCTCAACCAATAAAAATGCAAAGAATCGAATCAAGCAATTCTATTGGTAGATCGCCTCCCAAAGCAAGAATTGCGCCAAAATATCTTGAGCCACTTTCGAAAACCCAAAAGGTTATAAAAAGGAGAAAAGACAACCCCCAGTCAGTCAGTCTAGCGAACTCGCCGATCGATTGCCTAATTAATCCACGACATTCAAAAACAGAATTTTACCGCGCATTTTTGACGAACTTCAACTGACTCACCTGAAACACTCAACGAACAACTATCGAAACTTTGAACAATATTTCTTATGCACATTGATTTATTCATTACTAAAAATAAGAAATACGAATCACGAAAACAAACACAGACACGTTCAAAGGTAGACTACTTTAGCAAACTTTACCAAAAAACTCTTATTACGATATTTCAACACAAACACAAAATAACAAACATAACGACACAGAGACATCCAACATTTCAGCAACATATACAATTAACGCACGCAACAATACAAATATTATCCTTGTTTGTAAATATGTAATTGTATATAAATGTTTTATTTGTTTCGATCTATAAATGTCTCGTTTTTACTTTGTTTGAAATCTCATGTTTGTTATATATTTGTTTTGGGACAAGGTTTAGACACACAACCGATCCGAACAAAATCCTTCTGATTAATTAAATGAACCAAAAGTCCCAACAAAACTTGGTGACCTTCCGACGTGAGTGAACATGCAACAAGAGTGACGAACTTGTTGACGTACTTCAGACCAACAAAATTGGTAACCTCGACGTTTCAAGCAAACAACACCAACAAAATTGATAAACAGACGTGCGTAACAAAGATTGGTAACCCTGGTAACGGATAAAGTATTTCAACACTACAGATGGCAGAACCAACAACCGTATCAGAAACAGCCATCAAACTCGAGATGCCCGCCTTCAATGCAAATGTGCAAACGTGGTTCCTTCAGCTTGATGCGATATTCCAAGCTAGGCGCATAACTTCTCAGCAGTCAAAATTTGCAGCAGTCGTGGAGAAGCTACCGGCAGAAATAGCAGCCGAAGTAGCTGATATACTAACTTCAGTCCCAGTTGAAAAACCATACGAAATCCTAAAAGAAGCGATATTGCATAGATCAGGTTTTTCGGAGGAGAAAAAGAATACGTGAACTCCTGTCAATGTCACAACCGAAGATGCCAAACCTTCACAGTTACTTCGAACGATGCAGCAGTTATTAGGCGAAAATGACATATCGACCACAGTATTCAAACAAATGTGGCTGGACAAGCTACCGCCAGAGGTTGTACGAATTCTAGCCGCATTAGCAGAAGATGTAGACATCCAGAAACTAGCGATAATTGCAGACAAAATAACAGACACAGCGCCAATTAAACACATATCCGCAACGAACACACGAGATGGCCTCATGCCAGACATAGACCGGCAAATTCAAAAAGTTATCAACAGAGTTGCAAGATATATCTATACAGCTGCGCGAACTACAAAATGCTCATCTAAGCCGACATGATAATCAATATACCAAGCGAAATAAACAACGCTGGAGATCAAATTCTCGACACAGATACAAACGACAACGAAACGAATACCAAAATGAAAAATGTTGGTATCATGAAACTTTTGGCGCGCAAGCTAACAAGTGCAGACAACCATGTGCGTATAAGAAATCACCAACCGCCAAACAGCAGGGAAACGGACATCCTGGCACCCAGTAGAGACGTTGGATGCCAGGCAACTCAAGACTAACCGTCTCTTCTATATTTACGATAAATCCAGCGGATTAAACTTTTGGTAGACACCGGTGCCCAAATCAGTGTTATACCACAGACGAAGTGCAGCAAACAACTTCTAATAAAAACACAACATTAAAACTACAAGCCGCGAATGGCACGCCTATTGCTACTTATGGTGAAAAGACCCTGACTTTAGACATAGGTCTAAGGAGAGATCTAACGTGGACATTCATAATTGCTGATGTTTCGATGCCCATACTAGGAGCGGACTTCCTAACACATTATGCATTGTCAGTAGAACTAGCATCCCAAACACTAATGACACCAATACAAATATAAAACGCTGCGGTTTCATCTCTAAACATTCAACGATTGGACTGACGAATATTATACCAATAGCTAATGGCTACGGTGAGATAATACGTCAGTATCAGACACTATTAACACCGTCGTCACGAAATGAACCCGTTAGACATCATGCTAAACACAGCATTAAAACAACTGGTTCCCCAGTTTATTCCCAACCACGTAGGCTTCATCCCGCCAAATTGAAAATCGCAAGAGATGAGTTCGACAATATGCTCAGACTGGGAATAATACGCCCTTCAAAAAGCCCTTATGCCAGCCCTCTACACATGGTTACAAAAAGCAGATTCAGTCAGTTGGCGTCCATGCGGAGATTATAGGTTGTTGAACGCCCAGACCATTCCGGACAAATATCCTATCCCGCACATAAAAAAGATTTTGCGCTATCATTAGAAGGTGCTACAGTCTTCACTAAACTAGACCTCAAAAAGGCTTACTATCAGATACCAATCGAGGAAGACGACATACAAAAGACTGCGATCACCACTCCATTCGGACTATTTGAATTCACAAGAATGCCCTTTGGTTTACGAAACGCCGCACAGTCATTCCAAAGATTAATAGACGAGGTGTTACGTGGTATGCCGTACACATACGCGTATATTGACGATGTTTTAATTGCAAAGTAAATCACATGTTGAACACAAGGAACATTTGCATGCAGTTCTAAAACGTTTACAACATTATGGTTTAAAATTAAACATTGACAAATGTATATTTGCGGTACCACAGCTAACCTTTCTTGGACATGTAATAGACCAACAAGGATTGTCTCCCTTGGATCACAAGATCAAAGCAATAACAAATTATCCCACACCTTCCACAATGAAGCAATTACGGAGATTCTTAGGAATGATAAACTACTACCGACAATTCATACCGAACTGTGCAACTATAATATTGCCATTAACAGACATGCTATCGCAACGAAAAAAAAGAACTCGCAAATCGTACTATCGAAAGACGAATTAAAATCTTTTAACGATGCAAAAGACGCGTTGCAAAAATGTACAAAATTGTCGTATATTAATCCATCCGAAAATTCCAAACTAACACTCACGACAGATGCATCGGCTGACACAATTGGAGCAGTACTACACCAGATTACTAACAATGTAGAGAAACCACTATCATTTTTCTCGATAAAGTTAAACACTACCCAGAGGAAATATAGTACGTTCTCAAGAGAATTATTGGCAGTATACCTAGCAATACGACATTTTAGACACATTCTAGAAGGAAGAAATTTCGTAGTCTTCACCGACCATAAACCACTTACATATGCATTACATGCAAAGGCTGACAAATTAAATCCACGAGACCTAAGACATTTAGATTACATCAGCCAGTACACAGCAGATATCCGATACGTAAAAAAGGTCAGAATAACACAGTAGCGGACGCATTGTCCAGAACTACGCTCAACGCACTACAATCACAACCACTAAACTTTGACACTCTCGCTGAGGAACAAGCAAAACGACAACGAATTACCGTCTGTACAAAAGATACCTCACTTTAAATTGAAAAAAAAAAGACCTTTACCCTTTACTAATGAACTTCGTGTATTGTGACGTTTCCACAGGTAATCCTCGACCGTACTTACCTTTGTCACGAAGAAAATCAATTTTCGATCATTTCCATTCGCCAGCTCACCCTGGAGCGAAGGCTACGCTGCGGACCATAGCTGACAGATACGTCTGGCCCGGTATGTCTTCGGACGTGAAACAGTGGTCTCGCACGTGCCAACGTTGCCAGGCAACGAAAAATACACCGACATACCAAAGCACCATCGTCGACCTTCGCGACACCAGATGGACGATTTACGCACATACACGCAGACTTAGTCGGTCCACTCGAAAAAATTAATGGACACGAGTACATTCTAACGATCATTGACCGCTTTACGCGATGGCCGGTTGCGATACCACTAACATCAATAACGGCAGAAACAGTGGCTAACGCAATTTTCAACAACTGGATTTCTATATTTGGATGCCCTGCAGTTATCACAACTGACAGAGGTCCCCAATTTCAATCAACGCTATTCAACGAATTTGTCAACATTTTAGGCATAAAACACATCTCTACCACCGCATACCACCCATGCAGCAACGGAATAGTGGGAGATTCCATAGACAGCTCAAGTACGCATTAACAGCGTCTACCAGTGCTCGTACGTGGGTAGATAAGCTACCATTTGTGATGCTTGCGCTGCGAAATACAATAAAACTGGAAATATCTGAATGGTTAAGAAACGAATCTTTTTATGATGATGAAGAATAAGTCTAATTTGAACAGGTAACATTTTTGTTGGTCAAATAAGACAGAAAATATATCATCAACAAGAATCCTAACTCCTCTAGAGAAAGAATATAAAATACTCACATTTTATATCTAATAATTTATATTTTGAATTTGTCCAGGGCATATATTCAATTCTTGCTTTGCACATAATTTTCTTATAGTCTCTCTTTAATTTCAGTGTTAGAGTGGAATTTGTTTGCCAAAGTTTTCCTTTAGCTGTCTTAGATATTGAGGATTTCTGCTGAATTCTCTGCAATAATCCATTCTGATAAGCAATAATCCACTGAAAAGAAGCTTCTGGTTTTGACTCTTCAACTTTACAAACAAACATTCCATCTTCATTTTCAAGAAGATCTTGACTTTGAAGTTGAATAGATACAGATGTGACAGGAACTGAAATTAAAGCAAAAGTCAGTTTCAACAAATTAAGAAATATTTTTAAAGCTTTTCATAATAAACAAAAATGATATCATGAAGTGCAAATGACATTTCAGTAAAATTCTTTTAATACAAAACAATTTTTAGCCAGAAATTCTTGGAGGTGGTTTTATATCCAAGCATAACTTTTGTATAGTGGCATTTATGATAGAAGTTTATAAAATAATGATATCTTTAATGTATAAAAGTTAATCTCTGTAATAAATAAAATTCTTTTATTTTTTAACATGATTTTGACAAAACATTAAGAATATTTGTTAAAGTCTTCAACAATTAATTTTAATATGAAGGAAGTTTTATCTGAATTTAAAAAAGTATATATTAATGAAAAACTCATTTTTTTTATCTTTTCTTCGATAAATTATTTATTTAAACTACATGAATCATGTCTAATGAGTAAATAAAATCAAATGTATTAATGCCTATCAAAGCAAAACTCAGCAGCAGTTTTAGTGAAAAAAAAAACAACAGTAGCCATGTTTCATGGACAGGAGATGCTCCTTAGTTTTTGTTGGCATTCATCCAAAAGGTGGTATCTTAATCAAAATTACACCTTGCTGGTTAAGAATAAAATGCAAAAAAAAAAAAAAAAAAAAAAATTCAAAGTTTACAAACAAAATCTTAAACATGATCGGTTGTCACCTGGATCAACATGAACCATGTCCCTCAGGGAGGAACTAGTCAAGAGTTGAAAAATCTGTCATTGAAACAAACTCTTCACCAACATTGAGGCACCCAGTCACCAAAATTGGATCAAATTTCCAACCTTAGCCCTGATGACTCAAATCAATTAATCAAAAGAAAACAGACAAAATGGGATCCTGAAGAGTATAAGCAAGTCATGACATCTTTTTTACACTGAACTCAAAAATCCTCAAAAGAACATAACGGATCAGACAGATCAAGAATGGAGAGATATGTTAGGAACTGAAATAAGATCCTGTCTTAACCAAAATATGCTTACCAAAGTCTGCTGGGACACCATGCAAAATAAAAGACTCTTAACTACAGAAATAGGTCATATAAAATTAAATAAAAGACAAAGTACAAAAAAGCCATAACTCAAACAAAAATGAGTCAAGAGTGGAAATACATAATATGACAGAGGATTGGGTACAAACTAAAATAAATGAGATAAGAAATATTGATTTAGACAGGAACTGAAACTGAAGAATTTCGCTTTGACATAAATAATTTCACTGATTCAGACTCTGTCATTGATAATGATGAATAATGTTGTGGATTTGAATTGGACCATAACAAAGTAAAAGGCAAGAAACGTTTTTAATAATAAAAATATAAAATATTTTTATTTTTGTGTCTTTTACAACTAAATTTTCTCAGCGTGCATGAGTGTTAGTTCCTTGTTTGTAGTTGTTTGTTAAGATGAATAAAATTGTGATTTCTTTGCATGTATGTGTCCAAAAATGTGTCAAAAGAGAGGCAAGTGAAAAATTGAGGAAAGTCTAAGTGCCACGTAGTTTGAAGAGAAAGTGTGTAAGTATCACGTAGCTTGTTGAGGAATTCGAGTGAATGAGTAAGGAATCTCTTTGAAGTCACATTGTGAACAGTTGTCATATGTTGCTGTCTCTATGTCCTTAATTGTTTTATCCATCTAAAGACAACTTATTCTAAGGGGTCATGAAGTATTTTATTTTATTGTCAGTGGGAACGCGACCCATTAGCTGGAAAATGGTGAATATTTATTTTCAAAATGAAACAAAATTATCGAAGTTTTGATTGAAAACAACAGAGTTGAAATCACTGAAGTGAAAAACAACATCATTCAAAACTGAAGAATGTTTATTTTGTAGGTAATTCAGTTGTCCAGTTTTTTTTTCTATTAAAAATCCCAACATCCGAAATCCAAACAACAAATAAAATTAAAAAAAAAACATGGGTATGTCTGTTAAATAATTCATTTGTGTTTACAAATATATATGCATAAATTTAAAAAGTAAAAAAGTAAAAATAATCTTTAGTCGAGTTAAAGATTTTGTACAGTGTGTCCGCAGACAAAACTGTAGTTAGGAAAATAATTTTTTTGTCAGCGAAGTTTCATTGACTGTCTTTGCTGTTGTTGTTGGAGATGATTCATTTGAAGTCATCAACTGACCATCCAAGCTGTTATTATTGGAGATGATTTGTTTGAAGTTGCCGACATATGTTTCTTTTAGCGCGTGTTTGTAGAAAAAGCTATATAGTTACTTCTTCTCTTGTGTTTGAAAGGCTGAGAGAAGTCACATCTCTATGGTGCTGAAAGTTTTCCACAAATGTAAAGTCAAGAAAAATAAGGTTTTAGTTTTCTCTGATTGGTTAATTATTTTACATGGTAATGTTACATTCTAACAAATAGACACTTTCATTTAAACTGTTTTGTATTGTGGAATCTTTTTGGTATGACACTGAGGCCATGAAGTGGTTAATATTAAGTATTAGCTTGAAAGCTCTGAACTGGTTAATCTGGAGTATAAGCTGGTAGATAGATAGATAGATAGATAGATAGATAGAGAGAGAGAGAGAGAGAGAGAGAGAGAAAGTAGATGATATTTTCCCTGGTGATGGGAAGTGAAAAGGGGCCATCTGGATTGTATCGTCCCTACGAATTGGAAAGATGCACCAAGAGTTCATTTTTTTTTTTATCTATTGAGAATCTGGCATGCGGTGAAACGAATTGAGAAATAATTCTATCTTTTCCTTGAGAACTTAAGAAAATAAATATCATTAACAAGGAGAAGGAAAGGTCTGGGTTATGTTTTTGGATTATATTTTTAGGTTATATTTTCGCAGGCGAAAATGAATTGAAAAATAATTTTATCACACACTCGGAAGGTTAAATGAGAACAAACTTTTCTTAGGGGTTGAATATACGATTAAGACGGGAGTTATGAAAACAAGTACTTGTGGATAAGAGAGTAGTCAGGTTTATATATTCGCTAGACAGAGATAATTTCAGGAAAATAGGAATCAGAAAATTAAAATTAATGACTAGAGTAAAACTCCGCCTTTTCACCTTCGCACTTAAAAGATTAGATTTGTCATAAAGATAGTTATGGCTGCCCTGGGAAGTAGGCTGAGGCTGAATGCTAAGAGGGTAGGAGGGAGAAGGAGAATTTAACACAACCTGTATGGCATCATGATACGAGATGTAAAGTGAAGCAAGTTGGAATTGAGGGGAGGAGCGATCCATGTGACTACTCCCAATGGAGGTGGATAATTCTCCAAATTTGGAAAGTTGATTAAGGAAGTAGAAATAGGGGAAAAACAAAAATATTTCTCAAGATAAGCCTAAAGTTAAAATGGCTGACTACTGGAAATGAACTCATCATTAATTGGTGAGAGAGATTTCCAGGAACAACTTTTGCTAATGTTACAGCAAGAATCGACGGGGGCTGTGGTTGGGAATAAGTGGTGGGGTATATTGAAATCCAAAATTAGGTCGTCGTTTACTGCTGATTATAGACGTCGACTCAATCTAGTTAGATTAGCAGCACAAACGGAATGTGACGCCAAAGATGATGGGGCAAAAAAAATCTCGTGATAGTGGTAAAGTAACCTTACCTTCTTGCTTATCAAGAAAGATCAAGCTCTCGTAGTTAGGGCTAGGTTTAAAAATGTCTTCTTATGCGACAAATATGGCCACTGAAGCAGAGGAAATTTTGAAATGCGTCCAGTTAATATATTGCATCCAGTCACATTGCCAGATAGGCGAACCATAACTACAAAAGAGGGCATATGTAAGGTTTTCCGAAACTACTTTCAGGATCTGTTAACCAAGAAGCAGACTGAGCCCTGCTTAGTTCGACGCCTATTTGGCTGACCTTCCCTGTCTCGTGGTGACTGAAGGGGCTGGGTACGAGAATCCCATGAGAACTTGAGTGTTGAGGCTGGTTGGGAGACAAAACTTCGATGAACTTACGAAATGTACTTGAGGTCGTTGCCCGTTCCTCTGCTGGAATTGGTTTACAACTGGATGAAGCAGGTGTCTATACCTCAGTGTATCACCAGATGTGTGATCAAGTTTCTATGCATGGACAAAAAGGTGGAGATAGGATATTCGGCCTTGAACGATGTTAAACATAGAATTGAAGATTTTAGCTAAGATCTTAGCGACACGTTTGCAGACTGTCCTCTCTAGTGTAACTGGCTCTGAACAGACTTGTGCTGTGAGGGGCAGGACTATTCAAGACAACCTTCATTTGGTATGTTTTATCATGAAGCAAGTCAACAGAGAAGGCTGATCAATTTCAGCCCAAGGCATTTGATAGGATTGACTATCGATTTCTGGAGGCTGTTTTAGATCATACTTTCGCAGCTGTATCTGACTTGTGTATGAGTCTCCTGGTGCACTGGTAGGAGTAAATGAAGTAAAATAGAAACCATTTATATTTTCTCTCTTCATTCATCAGGACTGTCCACTTTCGCTCCCATTTACATTCTTGCGTTGGAACTTTCTCTTCACAAGATAAAGGCGAATCCAGTCCGTCATGGAATTTCTATACCTGGTGCTACCACCTCAGCCAGATACTCTGCCTATATTGACAAGATTTCAGTTCTTGTGCTGCGGAGAGAAAAGATTGACGAAGTCGGCAAACAGATTAGAGGTGTAATAAGAGATCATGAGAAGGGCAAATAAATCAACATACCCAAGAGCGAGAGCCGGATGTGAACAGGACAAGGCCCCGTCAAAAAATGACCATTATCGTTGTT